AAGAATGTCTTACTTGGTTCTCATTGACTCTGGTTTTGCTAGGAATCCTCAGTTGAATGCTGCCCTCGTGACAAGGGCAATCACTTGGACCTCCCTTCTAGAAAGCAGCTCTTTTGTCCATGTTTGGGCCAATAGACCAATCAGTTATGCTGAGCGTCTTGAGCTGCACCACCTAGGCAAGTGGAGAGTATTCTATCACACTCCTGCCTAATGCCTTGTAGTTTAGGGGAACATCTTAGGGACTTGGGTTGAGTAAATCACTCCTGGGTGAGATGATGACCTGGTGGTATTAATGCTAGACTATTAATACAGAAACTCAGCTAATGTTCTGGGAACCTGGGTTTGAATTCTGCCACAGCAGATTGTGGAATTTGACTTCAGTTTTGAAAAAAAAATCTAGAATTCGGAATCTACCATGACCATGAAACCACTGTCAATTGTTGGGGAAAAAAACCCATCTGGCTCGCTAATGTCCTTCAGGGAAGGAAACCTGCCAACCTCACTTGGTCTGGCTTACGTGTGAATTCAGAGCCACAGCAATGCTGTTGATTCTCAACTGCCCCCTGCACTGGCCTAGCAAGCCACTCAGCTTTATCAATTACAATATAGTCTCAACAATAAATGAAACTGGATGGACCATCTGAGAACCAAGGAGGAAATTCTTCATTGGTTGTCATTGCTGAAGGTCAAACTCCAGAGAAGACAACAGCAGAAACAACCCTGTCGAATCTGCAACATTCTCCTTACTAATGTCTGTGGGTTACTGCCAAAATTGGCAGAGGTGTCTCCAGAATAGTCAAGCAACAGCCTGACATAGTCATATTTATGGATTCATATTTGATAATGTTCCAGATATCACTATTACTGTCCTTGGATATGTACTGTTCTGTTAGCAGGGCAGACCCAGCAGAAGTTGAGGCATAGTGGTACCAGTTGGGAGGGAGCCTAGGAGTCTTCAACATTGACTCTGAATACCATCAAGTCTCATGGTTTCAAGTTGAACATGGACAAGGAAACCTCCTGCTGGTTACCACATACCCTTGGCTGATTTATTTTTCTCTGTTCATTTGTGGGATGTGGGTGTCACTAGCTGGCCAGCATTTCTTGCCCATCCCTCGTTGCCCTTGAGAAGCTGGTGGTGACCTGCCTTCTTGAACCGCTGCACTCCACCTGCTATAGGCTGAGCCACAATGCCATTAGGGAGGGAATTCCAGGATTTTGACTCAGCGACAGTGAAGGAACAGCGATATATTTCCAACTCAGCATGGTGAGTGGCTTGGAGCAGAACTTGAAGGTGGAAGTGTTCCCTTGTATCTGCTGCCCTTGTCCTTCTAGATGGAAGTCGTTGTGGGTTTGGAAGGTGCTGTCTGAGGATCTTTGGTGAATTTCTGCAGTGCCTCTTGTAGATTGTACATACTGCTGATGAATCAATATTCATCCATGTTGAACAACACTTGGAGGAAGTACAAAGGTGCAAAATGTACTCTGGGTGGGGATTTCAATGCACATCACCACGACTGGCTCGCGAGCAACACTACTGATCAAGCTGGTTGGGTCATAAAAGACATAGGTCCTAGACTGGGTTTGCAGCAGCTGGTTAGGGAAACGAGAAAAACATAGTTCACTTCATGCTTACCAGTCTGCTGGCTGAAAATACATCTGTTTATGACAGTCTCAGAGAGAGTGACCACTGCACAGACTTGTGGAAATGAAGTCCCACCTTCATATTGAAAATATCTTCCATTGTGTTGTGTGGAACAGACTTTGAACAGACCTGGCAACTGTAGACTGGACATCTATGAGATATATTAGCCATCAACAGCAGCAGGATTACTTCAATACCATTCTGCAGCCTCATGGCCTAACATATCACCAACTTAACTGTTACCATCAACTCTGTCTCAATGGAGAGTGTAGAACGGCATGCCAGGAGCAGCACCAGGCATACCTAAAAATGAGATTTCAACCTAGTGTAGGTACCAAAAAGCATAAGCAGCAAGTGACAAATAGAGCTAAGTGAACCCATTGGTTTAAGATCTAAGCTCTACAGTCCTGCATATCTAGTCATGAACGGTGGTGGACAATTAACTCACTGGAGGAAAAGGCTCCACAAATATCCCATCCTCAACGATGAAAGAGCCCAACACATCAGTGCAAAAGTATTCACAGCTATCTTCAGCCAGAAGTGTCGAGTGGATGATCCATTTTGACCTCCTCCAGTGGTGCCCAGCATTACAGATGCCAATCTTCAGCCAATTTTGATTTACTCCATGTGATATCAAGAAATGGCTAGAGGAACTGGATACTGCAAAGGCTATGGACCCTGGCAACATTCCAGCTCTGATGCTGAAGACTAGTGCTGCATTACTTGTTGCTCCCTTTGCCAAGCTTTTCCAGCACATCTACAACAATAGCACCTACCCAGCAATGTGGAAAATTGTACAGCTATGTCCTTTACACAAAAAGCAGGACAAATCCAACATGGCCAATTACTGGCCCATCAGTGTAGTCTTGATCATCAGTAAAGTGATGGAAGGTATCATCAACAGTGCTATCAGGCAGCACCTGCTCAGCAATAACCCGCTCAGTGACCCTAGTTTGGATTTTGTCAGGACAATTCAGCTTCTTACCTAATTACAATTCTGTTCAAACATTCATAAAAGAACTGAATTCCAGAGGTGAGGCGAGAGTGACACTCACTCCTCAACGTTAAGACTGCATTCAACCAAGTATGACATGAAGGAGTCCTAGCAAAACTGGATTTGAAGCTAACTCTCTGCTGTTTGTAGTCATAGTACATAGGAAGATGGTTGTCATTGTTGAAGGTCTATCAACATCCTGGCAGTTTCTATTGACCAGAACCTCAACTGGGCTTACCACAAGAGCAGGTCAGAGGCTAGGTATATTGTGGCAACCAACTCACTACCTGACCTCCTAAAGCCTGTACACCTACAGGGCACAAGTCAGGAGTGTAATGGAATACTCCCCATTTGCCGAAGCGGCTGCAGCTCCAACAACACTCGAAGCTTGACACCATCCAGAACAAAGCAGCCTGTTTGATTAGCACCACAACCACAAGCATCCATTCCCTCCACGACTGATGCTCAGTAGCAGCACAGTGTACTATCTACAAGATGCACTGCAGAAATTCACCAAAGACTCTTAGACAGCACCTTCAAAACCCATGACCACTTCCATCTTGAGGGATGAAAGCACGGGAACATCACCACCTGTAAGTTCCCCTCCAATCCACTTACCATCCTGACCTGGAAATATATCACCATTCCTTCAGGCACACTTGTCAAAATCCAGGCATCGTGGGTCAACCCACAACACCTGGACTACAACGATTCAAGAAGGCAGCTCAGCATCACCATCACCTCAAGGGCAGCTGGGGATGGGCAATAAAAATGCTGGCCAGCCAGTGATGTTCACAACCCACAGATTAATAAAACAAAAACAAAACTCCCAGCCTACGATCTAGGAACAAAATATAGGAGCAGGAGTAGGCCATTCAGCCCTTCAAGCCTTTTCCATCATTCAATATGATTATGGCTGATACTGCAACTTAATAATCTGTTCCCACTTTCTCCCCATGCCTTTTGATCCCTTTAGTCTTAAGAACTATCTCTACATCCTTCTTGAAAATTTTCAATGTTTTGGTCTCAACAGTTTCTTGTGGCAAAGAATTCTATTGGCTCACCACTATCTAGAAATTCCTCCTGTGGCCCCTGGTTCGAGATACCCAGTCATTGAAAGATCCTTCCTGCATTCATCCATCGATCTCCTGTTAGAATTTTATAAGTTTCTATGAGATTCCTCCTCGTTCTTCTAAATTCTTCCTGATGGACGTGTGGTCAAAAATGGTTTTCTTTGCAAATTTCTCCATGAAGGTCTGATCATATGGAAAAGTCCAACTATTTGGAGTGTTTGTGGCAATGAGGCCAGTTCCATCCTTTGCAACAGCAGGGACAGGTAGAACCTCAATATGTAGTGACACTTCAGGTTTGCATACCTAGGGTCTATGCACAACTTGATGCATCCACACACAAAGGTGGCCTTTGGAGTAAGGCCAATGTTGGGTACATCCTTCTCCACCCTCCACTTTTCCAGAGTCTTGTATATGGAGTCCCACAGATATGGTCCATCAATTTTCCTCTTTGTCAGGTACATGCCAGTGTTGTAACTGCAGGAGAAGAGCCTGAAATGTCACAACTAGTTCTGGAGCATCAGTCTTCAGCACCACATTTAGAGATGCTGTTGGGGCCCATGGGCCTTTTCTGCATACTTCAACTGTAATTTGATATCAGTTAGAGTGAATCAAATGGGGTAAAGGGTGGCATCTCTGATGCTAGAGACCTCAGAAGACTGAGATGGGTTGTTCTCTCAGCACTTTTGACTGAAGTTGTTTGCCACATTGGTAATCATGGTAATCATTGGCCAATTGTAAAAGGTGACTTTGGACCCGAGGGCATACCTTTAAGGGGGAGAAAGTTTAGAGGAGATGTGAGGAAACAGTTTTTCAACACAGAGGGTGGTGGTTATTTGGAACTCACTGTAAGGGTGATAGAGGCAGAAACCGTCATAACATACAAGAAGTATTTGAATATACACTTGATGCCAAGGGTCAAGTGCTCTAAAATGGGATTAGAGTAATAAGGTGGTTGTGTTTGACCGACGGAAACCCAGTGGGCAGAATGGCAGAATAACTATGTTGTAGCTCTCAATGACTGCGTGTTTCACGTAAATACCACCAGGGTCACGTAAAACAACCAGTATGTTTTGCAAAACTGCTTCTGTCGCAAGCCTCGAGCTGAGCTAGTTACATGATAAAGGTGTTGAATAAATCGCATGTTGTAATTTTACAGTGAATGTTTATCTGTATCGTATCATCATAGATTTTATTTTATTTCAGTCCTGTAATATTTACTCTCCATTTCACTTGCAGATAAAGGAATTAAACAGATGCGGCGATACTTTTGCTGATCCCATAATTTATCTTCTCACTCAAATAGCATATGGTGCTACTTCCGCGTTAAGACTGACCAATCAGGGCGAGCCTCGAAACTAAACCGAAATGAGATCATTTCGAAGAAAACGAAACTTAGAAAGAAACGAAACCAGTTTGTCGACGCCTCCCTTCGCCTTTCTTTCCGTCTAGCTGGTGCTCTCAACATGGGTTTTCTGTCCGGCTCCAATCTGAAGCAACCTCTGTTTCTGATATTACAGCCAGGTAATTTTCAAATTCGTCTTTTGCTCGCTCAGTGAAAGCCTGAGTTGGATTTGTTTACTCAGTGGCATGCTACAGTTGTTTCTTGCGTCCTTTCACGAAGTGTGAGGCTCGCTGCCTTTACTTAATTAAAAGCTGTCACTCTGTATATTTTAGATAACACGGTGTCGAGCTGGATGAACACAGCAGGCCGAGGAGCAGGAAGGCTGACGTTCGGGTCGAGACCCTTCTTCAGCAATGGGGGAGGGGAAGGGGATTCTGAAATAAATAGGGAGGGAGGGTGAGGTGGATAGAAGATGGATAAAGGATAAGATAGGTGGAGAGGAGACAGGTCAAAGAGGCGGGGTTGTAGCCAGTAATGAATTTTGATGTTTTACCCTGTGATGTCCCTTGTTTTAGCAGTGCTGTTTTATGTGGGTACAGAAGCTGTAACAGAAGTACTTACCAGGTTCGGTGACATTGCAAAGCTGCCCTGTGATGCTCCACGTGAATCTGAAGTTCAGTACAGAGCTATCAGCTGGTACAAGGTAAAGAAGTTTTACTGTTGCATTGAAGACTATGCTTATAGCATGTAAAACAATTGTAGTTTGGGCAGATGACACAGTTGTGAGGAGATGTTTCTTATGTATTTGCATATCAAGGATTTAAAAAAAAGCATGGGAAGCTGAGAACAAATGATTTACAAACTTAATTTTGCTACACCTGAATTTCCTCACTCTTTTACACTCTTTATTGACCCTCGTGCCTAAAGGGACAAAGGATATTTCTGTGTCCATCTGCATAGAAAAAGCTCATCACCTTTATCAGGAACCTGGGCACGAATAGTACCATGCTACCACTAGAAAGGTGATTGTATAATTGTTTTGTTTCTGCTGTCTATATTGGTCTGGAATAGCTATGCAGTGTACCCCTGCAATTTGCCATCTTCATTGCTTGCACCACAACTTCAGCACCACTGGGCAGCAAACATGCAGCATCAGGGACAAGGGAGACAGCAAGTTCCAAAGCCGATGAGGCTTCAGGCAAGTTCATTATTCAACACAGTCAGCCATCCACTTACCAATGTTTCCACAATCTGGCTCCAGCTAACTTCATTTGAAATGTATGGTTCTTGCTCTTGGTTTACTCCAAAAACGGATCAAAAATCAAATTGATCAAAAAAATCAGCATTGACTAGAAATGACATGACATCATCGTGCAAGCTCTTAATACCTGTCTTACATGCTACTTTATTTATCCCAGTACTACCACAAGATGCTGTCCCAGTTACTGTAACTTTGGAGATTAAGGCTGCTGAGCTTCCATTGTAAGCACTTCAGGTGGCCATGGTGAAAGTCCTGAATACCAACCAACCTTCAGTAGTCATTCACGGAATAGAATAGTTACAGTGAGTGCACGCATTGATTTCTTACATCAGGTAATGGCATTAACTACTATGGGTTTGATCTGACTTCCAGGCAGCAATGTGCGTGAATGGCTGGTTGCTTGAAACTTTCAGATATAAAGAAGGAATGCATTGTGTGATTTCATTAATTCCTTGGCCCTGTTGGCTCATGTTGATTTCTGTTTCTTTGTACCCATTTTCAAATTCCTATGTTAACTGTGGTTTTTGCAGAAAATTTGGGTGTAAATAGACATTAGGAAGTTGGGCATATATAAGTTCGTAATAACCTGTATGACTCTCTAGTTGTGACCCTACATGAAATTACTTATGGCTTGAATAGGGAACCAAGACCTAATCTAACACAAACAAACTGTAAACTAGCTGGAGGGGATAGTCTTCCTTCAGTTCCCTTTGAAAATGGTCTAGGCCTTGACACCCAGTGCATACTCCAGAACTGCTTTGCATTGGTGCTTATCTTGTGTGAATGCTTAATTGGACAGAGGAATGGCACATCATGGCATTCCTGAAAAATACAGTTTCACAAATAAGGAAATCCTAACTATGAAAACTCAATAAAGTTAGAGGGAGCCCAAACAGAGATGAATAAATTCCAAAACAGTCTGAGATGTTGAAGATTGAGATGTTCCTAAATCACAGATCACATGCAAAGTTTAAGCAATTGGTTGTAACAAAATAATTCAAGAACTTCAAGCCATTTCTAATTATGCATTTAACATTGGACAAGGGACAGTTCATTGGCCTACACTAATCATATATAATTGTTTAAGAAAGATTTACAATTTTACAACATCTTTGTTGTCTTTCCAAACAGCCAGTGAGTTACTTTTGAAATGTAGTGGCTGCTGTGATCAGGAGAATTGTGGGTCCAATTGCAAACAGGATCTCATAGTGAAAAAATAAGATGAATAATGTATTTTTTGGTAATGTCAAGGGGGCGGGGGGAGAAATTTTAGTCTAAACAGTTGCCCAAATAATGATAGGGGATCTTTTACTTCCATCTAGGCGGATGGAGCTTTTGATTAACATGCAAATCTTTGAACCTTGAAAGGGAGAAATGTACCATCATGAAGTAAGCTAGAAAGTGTTCACCCACAAAGCAGGAACATGCAGTAAATAAAAAATGTTTTGATCAGGTGGGGATGATTTTATGTTGGAAATCCCAGCAAATAAATGTACTTCCACCATGCTCATCCATGTCTACTTTTAAACTCAAGGAGTAAATGGAAATATACGATCACCATCTTTATTCCTAAACTTACAAGAAGACTTTTATATTTTAGACTGAAACCAAAATCAAATGCATCATGCAATTTGCCTTTTAGTAGTATCATGATGAGTCACAGGATATATTACTTAAATTATTTGCCTTCTGGAAATGGAAGGAAATTTTACTGTGAAATTTTAGCTTTACGTTGGGTTCTTCCCTAACTACACCCTTTTTGCTTGGTTTCTATGGGGGTTCACCAGCTTGAGGCCAAATGTTTTAGAAGAAGTAGCAATATTTGTCTCTCAAACAAAATAGCACAAAACATACTTTCATTTGTCTGGTGTTGGGTTTAAGCAAAATAACAGCAACTAGAAAATCTAGACTACTAAAGTGTAAAGTCGGTTCTGTTGGAGTCCTGACAAGTTTTCTGTTTTTTAATTTAATTCCAAGTGCCAGTTACTTCATTACACTGACAAGTATTTTAATAAAGCTCTGTAAATCTTGAATGCATTTCATTCTACGAAATAGTAACTGAAAAATTGCAGATAAGCAATCTAAAAGTACTATGTATATATAAATGTTAGTTTTTGATGTCAATTGTCGTTGGTATATGCATTGCCACATATCCATCTAAAGAATTGTGTGGCACGGTAGCTCAGTGGCTAGCACTGCTGCCTCACAGCACCAGTGGGGTGTTTGTACATTCTCCCCATGTCTGTGTGCGTTTCCTGTGGGTCATCCAGTTTCCTCCCACAGTCCGAAGATGTGCAGGTTAGGTGGATTGGCCATGGGAAATGCAGCTTTGCAGGGATAGGGTAAGGGGTGAGTCTGGGTTGCATGCTCTTCGGAGGGGCAGTGTGGACTCGTTGACTGAATGGCCTGCTTCCACACTGTAGGGATTCTATGATTTTATGAATTAGATACTTAACAATCCTAACCACTTCTTGACTGGAACTTCCTGACTCTCGCAGACCAGGAGGAACAAGAATCTTGATATGCAGTCTGCAGGTGGCTTGGCAAGCACAATTGGTAGCGACTAGCACGGGGTGAGGAAGTGTGAGGAGTGGGAGAGAAGGCAAGCAGAAGAATTGAGGAGTGAAAAAGGAAGTGACTGGGTGGATTGAGGAGTGGAAGAGGAGGTGAATGGGCCAATTAAGGAGTGGTAGAGGAAGAAAGTGGGAGGCTTGAGGAGTGGGAGAGGAGGTGAGGAGAATTAAGTGGAAAGAGTTAGCATATTTCTTTATAACTGTCCATTTATTTTTAAAACTATTTCATTTACAAAGATACTGATTTAGCAATTACTGTTTTTCAACTTACAAGTTAATGATTATTTTTCTGCTGACATAAACCCTGCTGATCCTAATTACAATTTTTACATTAGTAGTAATGGAAAATTGTATTCACTTAACATTGTTTGTATAAAGTCAAATTTTGTGTTAAATGAGGGAATTTCGTGTAACCCCAATCACAATGTTTTTCTGTGGTAAGATATAGCACTGTTTGATTCTCTGTGATTTATATACATTTTAATATTTTTTCCAGGTAGCTGATGATGGGTTCAGTTTATCAGGAATTATGCGAAGAGATCTCAAAGAGAACATTGTCTGGAGGTATCGGGGTTTCAATAGATCCGTTGAGGTTAATTCTGCCAGTCCGTATTTCTTGACAATTTACAACGTCTCCAGTGAAGATTTGGGAGCATACCAGTGTTCTGTCTGGGCACCACTTGGAGAGCAAAATGTAAAGGGAAATGTGAGACTTCAAAAAATAAGTCAGTATCTTATCAAAAGTTGAAATTAGCATGTTCTTAGAAACACTACTGAATATTCTTTTTCCATTCTTCTTTTATTACACCTAAATCATAGACTAGGGTTTATGAACTAATATTGTTGAGGCAGAGCTTTGTTTAATAGAAATAACAATCAACTACTGGTGAGAAATTCTGCCCATGGATGGAAAATTCAATGGGATGTATTGACTTTCATATTCAAAGTGTCTTATGCTCTCCCACAACATAAAACCTTCTTCTGTAGGTGCTAATTCAGCCATCATATCTTCATTTGCACTTCACTAACTTGCCAGCAGCTACAGGCAGGGCTTAAAATTTGTTCCTGGTTCTATTTCTTCCTCCAGATTTTTCCTGATCTGCTGTGTATTGACAGCATTTATGTTTTGATTTTGTACTAAATAATTTGTCTAGCAATACTTCAAAGTGGTGCTGGGTACTACCCACATTAATTCCTTTGATGTCAATTAGTAAACTTATACAGATCATCTTAAAAATAAAGAACGGATGCTAGTCATCTGAAATAAAAACAGTAAGTGTTGGATGAACTCAGCAGGTCTGGCAGCATCTGTGGAGTGAGAAACCGAAGTAACTGTTTATTTGCTTTATAAATAAAGTGACTACAAGAACAGGTCAAAGATTAGGAATTTCACAGTGAGTAATTTACCTTGTGACCCCTCAAAGCCTGCCTACCATCTTCACAAGTCATGACTGTGATGGAATACTCCCCACTTGCCTGGATGAGTGCAGCTCCTACAACACTCAAGAAGCTTGACACGATCCAGGGCAAAGCAGCCTGCTAGATTGTTTGTGGATGTGGTGCCATTCAGTCACTCCAGCATTGATGATCAGTAGCAGCAGTGTGTATTGTCTACAAGAAACACTAGAAGTTCACCAAAGATCCCTAGAGAGCACCTTCCAAACGCATGGGCAGCAAATGCATGGGAACCATTTGCAAGTTCCCCTCCAAATCACTCTCTATTCAGATTGGAAAAAAATGGCCACCATTCTTTCACTGTCACTTGGGTCAGAATCCTGATACTACCTCCCTAAAGGTGTTGTGGTCTACCTACAGCACATGGACTGCAGTGTTTCAAGAAGGCAGCTCAACACCACCTTCTCAAGGATGACCAAGATTGGGCAATAAATGCTAACCCAACCCACATCCCATGAGTGACTAATATAAGTCCAATATGACTTCTTCAGAATTGAAAAGTGGTGTTTTATGCTGTATAAAGAGAGGGGAGGAGGGAACCAAAATAGAGGACAAGAGTTCATGGTCTGACTTTATTGAGCTCAATGTTGAGTCCTGAAGGATGTAAGATACCAAAATGGAAAATTAGGTGCTCTTCCTCCAACTAAAGTCAATGGACACAAGCAGCATTTTGAACTTTTAGCGCAGGTGTTTACTTGTAAATCGCCCCACCAGAAGTTTTAATGAAACCATGAGTGGGTAGTGATACCCAGAAATAACTTATTTCCTATCATCACATCATCGGAATGGAATATCATAATGTTGCAATATAGGAGTCCTTCACAAAAGATTTCTTTGTTGCTTGCTACAAGCAAGTAAGAAGGGATAAATTAGCTTCCTCTTTTCAACCTTCTCTGTTAATCATACCTAAGTTTTAATTTCTTTCTAACATGAGGCTGTACATTTCTCCTGTTAAAATGTAGTTAACTTTTTTTTAACTATAAGGGATTAATCAAAAGATATTTTTGAATGATGGAAATCAATGTTGTTACCTGCTAACCCCGTGAAAAACAATAGAAATGCAACTAATTTCATTCAGCCACTTGCTTCTCTCACGTACAGGCATAGGTGCAAAGTTAAAAGAGATAAAATCCAGTATGAAGGTTGATAAAAGAAAATAAATTTTAGAGTCCTTTAATTGTTTTTGAGATGTAAGGTTTAAACCCAAGGTCGAGGGGGATTCACTGGTTTCTTGAATGTAGTCATCAGTAGTGAATGTTGCAATTTTTAAAAATATTTTCAGCTCCCTAATATTCCTTTTCTACGGTTATTTCCATGGGAATCAAGCCATTTCTAAGACAGAAGTAAATATAGCAGCTTCCCTCTCAAAAATTCCCAGAAGCTCTTAGAATTTCCCTTGAAATACAGGCTCCAATGTGGTTTTCTAAGGTTTATATCACTATACCATTCGTTGCATTTGGTAATGTCTTCCTGAGAAGATTTTGAAGGCTTTCCAGATTGTAGAGAGTCTCTCTTTTTAAATGCCCCCTTCACTCCACCACCACAAATTATTTTGTTATTTTACTTTCATCTTGGGTTTTGCATTTCTAAGTATTTCACCTTGTCTTAATTTAACTTGTAATAGCCCCAATCAGTTGGAAGTTTTAAAATATTATATTTTCAAAAATACCGATGTATGACCTGTGTCACGCTACCCCCAAAACAATGGATGCTTCAGACATGATTGCTAAGCGATCAAAGAGTTTGAGACATTTCACATCAATTCGGGTGACTTGCAGGGACTGGTGGGTGGATAAAAGCAAAAAAGCTAGTGTTACTCAGGCAGCTTCTGTCCATAACATGAAACAGTTAACATTACAGCTTTCAATGCTGTTTGGAACTGAACGATATTACAAACAGCACTGAAGAAGAAAAACAATAAGGAGATGGGGACAGCAATCATAGCATGACTGCCAAAACTGGTGTTTATAAAAGAAGGCTTATGCAATAAATCAGAGAAACAAAATATGCATAGAAAGTGAGACGTTACTTTAGTGCATGCAGGAAGAAACATTTGGGGACAGACTGCTTTGGTGTATTATGCAAAGAAATAATATCTCGTTGAAACCAAACATCGAAACTCTCTTTCACTTAGTGCTCCATCAGTAACAACCAGATTAAATTGATGCTATGAATTCCTTCTGACCTTGGGCAGTCAGTAATACTTGAGAAAATTTGTTCTCCCCCTGCTTTTTAAGGGCCATGAAATCAACCCCGATAGGGTCCCTTTGAATTCGCATACTTGCAGAAAAAAGCAATCTGTTCAATAACAACAGCATCACACAATTTATCACAAGCAATAAGAGGAGTTCAATTTATATCCTCAATCTGTTGACTGGTATCTGTGGCTACTTTCACTGTTCTGTCCCTCTGTCTTTATTGATAAAGATGTATTTAATTTTTAATTTTTTTTAAATGTTCTAAACTGTACATCTGCTCAGAGATGCTGATAAAGCAGTCTTTTACATATTTAATTTTTGCAAACAACTTTAATTGTCTCAAAATCTCTTAGCCTGCCATAAAACCAGAAGTAGTTGAACTATTTGATAAGTACACCATTTAATGATTGTTGTCCTAGAATTCTTTGCCTTGTTCTTCAGCTGCTACATCGTTTTATATTTCAGGCTTGTCAAATTTGTGCATGCTATTTTTTTTCACATTTTTGTGCAAAACATTTTGAGTCTCAACATTACATCTTTTTCACTGAAGAAAGGGCTATGGAGACAGCCAATCCTTGCTGCATCTCCAAGGCAATGTACCGAGCACCGAGTTAACTTGTCTGGTTTGAATTTAATCAGTTATCTTTTTGAGTTTCTGCTGCATCTCATGCCAACAATAATCTAACCAATCAGCACCCTCTTCTCATACTTTATAAATTGTTGCTTCCTTTTAATTTGTTTTCCTGCGTATCACTCCTGATGAGTTACGGACGAAAAGCTTCAACTCCACATCTCCTTATAGCAATGTCTTAGTTCGGTTACCAAGCCAATTATTTGAACTTAGTAATGTAGAAACAATGTCAGAAGCGGTCAACATATTGCAGAGAGCAAATATTGACGTTATGAGCTGTGGACTTAGAATTTACACCATGAAGACCACAATATTTAATCCAGAGGATCACTTCAGTCACTTGGATGGGCTATCTCAGGTGCTAGCTAAAGACACTTCATGCTGTTTTCTAGATGCTATAAATGTACTATTACAGATGGGAACAGGCTCATCCATGTCTACTACAAAGGCAAATCAACAGTTTCAGAGATAGCAAATAATTTTGTTTCATTAATAAATATAGAAAATGCTGGAAATACCTAATAAGTCAGGCAGCCACTGTGGAGAGAGAATCCAAGTTACAGTTCTGGATTTGACCAGCCGGTTGGACATGGGCTTTTTGACTTTTGACAATTTGACATTTGGTCATTTATGGCAATTAAAACAATTAATTCCCAGCCCTGTTATCACTTCACTGGCAAGGGAAGAACTGCTGCATCTTGTAGAAGTGATCAGTATAAACTCAGTCATGATAACAGCTGGAAAAATAGGCGGTAGCCTCCATTATGGATGCTCCAGAGCAGTGGATAGAGCTCATCAGTAGAGCAATGGCCACCCCCACAGCTACAATGCTGCCACCATACAAGACAACACCACACACATGGGTGTGCACACAGGCATGCATATGCGTGCGCGCGCGCACATACACATGGCTTGCTTCAAGACGAATTTATCATCTCTTCAAGACCTTGTGCCATCCCAATGTATCCTTTTATTGTGCAACTTCAACAATGGTCACCACTAATGGGCTAGTAGCTGTGAGTTAGGTCACCATCCTCCATGGGACAACAGGCACCACTAATATTTTACTGTCTCAGGGTCCTGCTGCTGGTTTGAAGTTGGTCCCCCTTTTGACCCCTGCAGGAACAATGCAACAAACGTTGATGACCTGTTATCAAAACTGGAAGAGATTAACAATGTAGCAGTTTTTAAAAAAAAAACCCTGAAGCAGCAGAAATATTGCTGCAGGGTGGCAGTAAGGAAGCAGGAAAAATACAATTAAAGGGAAAGTTTATGATAGGCTGGAGTTATTAAGATTTCAAGGCATAATTGTGCAAGACAGAAGGGGCTGGTAATGAGGCAAACAATAGGAGATGGGTCTTAGGGCTGTTGTGGCACAGTAGTTGTATCCCTATCTCTGAGACAGAATGCCTGATTTCAAGTCCCGCCTGCTCCAGTGATG